AAAAAAAAAAAAAAAATTGAAAATTGTGGCTCAGTGCCTGTAGCTCAGCAGCTAGGGCGTCAGCCACATACATGGGAGCTGGTGAGTTCGAATCTAGCCTGGATTGACAAACAACATTGACAACTACAGCCAAAATAAAATATCCAGGCATTGTGATGGGTGCCTGTAGTCCCAGGTACTTGCGAGGGTGAGGCAAGAGAATTGCTTAAGCCCAAGGAGTTTGAGGTTGCTGTCAGCTGTGACACAGACGCAATGGCACTCTACCCAGGGTGACGGCACAAGACTCTGTCTCAAAAAAAAAAAAAATTTGAAAATTGTAAGTATTTTAGGTAATGAATTTGAGCTTGACTTAATCATTCCACATTGTATGCATGTATCAAAACATCATACTGCACCCATAAATACATCCCCCCCCCAAAAAAAATCTCCTAACAAAGAAAAGCCCTGATGACTGCACAGGTGAGTTCAATCAAACATTTAAAGGGGAACTAGGCCAGGGGCAGTGGCTCATGCGTGTAATCCTAGCACTCTAGGAGGCCAAGGCAGGTGGATTCCCTGAGTTTATGGGTTTGAGGACAGTCTGAGGCAGAACAAGACCGAAGCTATAAAAATAGCTGGGTGCTATGGCAGGCGCCTGCAGTCCCAGCTATTTGGCAGGCTGAGGCAAGAGAATTACTTAAGTCCAAGAGTTTGAGGTTGCTGTGAGCTATGACACCATTGCACTCAACAAAGTAAGACTCTGTCTCAATAAAGAAATAAAATAAAACAACAAAAGTGAGACTCTGTCTCAAATAAAATAAATAAAATAAAATAGAACTAAAATCAACACCACCACCCCCATGGCACTCCTGGGCATTTACATAGAGAAATGAAAACTTAGGTTCACATAAAAATATGTATAGAGATGTTCAGAACTGCTTTACTAATAATAGTCAAAAATTGGGAACACTACAAATATCTTTCAATAGGCAAATGGTTAAACTATGGTAAATTCATTTCATGGAATATTACCCAACAGTATAAAGAAATGAACTAATGATATATGTAACAACTTGGATAAATCTTCAGAGAATTGTGCTGAGTAAAAAAGGCCAATGCCCAAAAATTAGATACTATATAGTTCCATGTAAATAACATTTTTGAAGTGGCAAAGTAATTAAAACGAAGAATAAAATTGTGATTGTTATGGTTCATGGATAGGGGTTGGAGGAATGGGATGTAACTATAAAAGGACAACTTGAAGACTCTTTGTGGTGGATGGAAATTTTTTATACCTTGAGTGCATCAATGTCAATATACTGGCCGTGATATACTACAGTCCTGTATAAGATGATATAATTGAAAGAAATTAGGTAAAACAGTATGAATTTCTCTGTATTATTTCTCCAAACTCCTTGTGAATCCACAATTATCTCCAAATAATTTTAAAAAAATGAGAAGACACTAAAACAGAATTTGAGTGGAAATTTATAGTACCATAGCCACATAGTAGAAAACCCGCATATTAGAAAACAGTTCTCAAATTAATGACCTGTTCCACCTTAGGAAACTAAGCAAAGAAAATCAAATTAAACAAAAGTAAGCAAAATAAACTGATCAAAGGAGAAATCAATGGGATAGAATATAGGGAAACAATAAGGAAAAGCAATGAAATCAAAAGTGATTCTTTGTGAAAATCAGTATAACTGATATACTCGAAGCAAAGTTAACAAGACAAAAAGAGAAGATGCAAATTACCAATATCAGGAGTTAAAGAAAAGACATCAAGACTTGTCTCAAAGACATCAAAAATATGCTAATAGGCTCAGCACCTGTAGCACAGAGCTTATGGTGGCCAGCCACATGCACTGAGGCTGGAGGGTTCAAACCCATCCCGGGCCAGCCAAAAAACAATGACAACTGCAAAAAAAAAAAAAAAAAA